CTGCATCAAACCGAGTATCGACCCGCGCTGGCCAGCGGATACCTGCTTCGCAGGAAAGGCTCTACCGACGGGGACGGGGTGTATACCATGGGTGCTAACATCATCTACACAAGGCGTTCTTCAGCTTCGTATGACGCCGTTCTTCGAGAGATACTGGGCATGTACCGTGATCTTGCGACTCTAGCTCGGGCCCGGGGCACTCGGGCCGTGCAACAGGGTACACTACCCTGGCACATTGCTACTGTGGTCAAGGCTCAGGCGCTTCTGAGCTATGCTCTCTGATTATTCTTTATGTGTTATATTAGTTCATTATACCATGTCGCGGCTGGTGTGAAGATACGGCGTATGGTGTTTTATCTACCTTATTAGAATATGATCCCCAAGCGATCTGTATATAACTATGGTGCCTTGCTTTCGTTCATCAAGCAATATGTGGGAACGGTACATCAAACGTAAGCGGGCGGTTGGATCCGCGTTCAAATAAGTTTGACTGTTGTTGACCGATTGTCGAGAATATCATTCCATACCTTGGCTAACGAGTTCAGGTAGCTCTTAATCACGCATGCGCTGTTCAACACATCGAAGCTCTCTGGACAGAGACTATGCATGTAAGTCGATGGTTGTTCGGCACTCGGAATCTGATCCTAGCCCAAGTTGCGAACGCGAATGATGGTTTGTGAAGAGCTCCGGCTATAATTCTGTCCACAAAGCACAACAACCGATGTGGATAATCTCCACCAATCCAGCTTTGAAGCCAGCTCGCGACCACCGGACTGCCCCCTACTCCGACTCAAGGATAATATATCTTCCAAAGCCAGTCGTGGAAATCTCCTTCTAAGCCAACCCGAGATCTCCTTTCATCCCAAGCACCGGAGATAACTCTTTTCTTTGTGGTTTGAGACATCCCATGGAGACTGTCTACTAGATACGGAAGATACTGGAGCTCTTCAACAAATTCTTTGACAAGAAAACGAGATGCACCTGTTAGGAGCAGGGTCCGCAGTCCCAGAATAATGCTTTGCGTTCATTATAAAAAGCGATCATATCTTCTGATCATTCAGCTCTTCCTCCCATCACGACTTTCACCTTATTCACACAAAAAAACACAAAAACACAAGTCAAAACAACACAACACAGATATCATGCCTACTAACAAACAGCGCGTCCAGCCCAAGTCTCGGCGGCAGGCAAAGAGACAGCGACAGGCTCCCTTGACCACCGCTGCGCAGAACGCCAGTCCGACCATGTGGCACGATTACTACAATGTCACCACCCACGATGAAGTGACCCAGAACGGAGCCCACCACATCTCATGCAGAGCGCAATGCCGCTACTGCTGGATGTTCTGGACCAGCCGCACCTCTTCCCCGTTCGCCATTAGTCTGCAGCTCCATCTGCACTTCTGCCCAGGTCGCAGAAAGCGTGTCGCCGACCAGAAGAAGAAGTGTCAGTTGGGTAAGTGCCCCCCCTCCTGCGATCTCCCCGCAAAAGATGAGACATCGGCCAAGCGGGCTGAAGAATGGCATTACGATGGAGAACAGTGCCAACCACCCGAATACAGCAAGCTAACAACGGACCAGATGCGCGAGCGGTTCGTGATTGGCACTAAGGGCTTCCGGTTGAAGGCGCAGTGCCGCGACTGCGACCAGAAGGTCTGCAATAAGCGGTATACGCTCTGCAACCATCTGGCTGGGTGCGCGATGCGCCGCAAGTTCTTGCTCTTCCGGGGTGAGAAGGCGGGTCGGTGGGCGAAGTGCCGCGATTGCGGTGAGGTTGTGAAGGCGAATCGGGGGGTGAAGATGGTGCATCTGGTCAAGGAGTGTCCTGCTAGGAGCTCTGAGTGAGCTTGGATGCTGTTTTCAGATTCCTAGTTGCGCTTGTTGAAGTAGAGGTGTTAGACGTATTGAACTGAGTATTTGTTTTGGTTCACCTTAGCATAGGCGGGATAGCCGCATTCGAATGCTAATTTATCTGAATTGTGATAATCCGAGTTCATTGACCATTACACTAGAGCTATGAAGTAACTGATAAAATCTTATGTAAATCTGTTGGAAGATCGATGGATTCTTGTCACCGCCGCGGTGATCGAATACGGAAACAGACTGGCGTCCTCCATCATAAACGATCTTGGATAGGGATGGCCGTGTCGCTGTCCCAGATTGCGGAGGTGCGGTTAGTCCTATTATTGACGGCCTTATGGCCCATACCAGCTGGACGGCCTACCGGTTGTGTGTGTTCGCTTGTTCAAAACACCATGACAAATGATAAATTGCCTAATATGGGAAGGACAAGGTCGTCTCCGTAAGCCCGCTGCGGAGGTGGATCGGCGTGGGTGCGTGTAACGCCTGAGGTCATCTGGGTCATGTGGCGTGCAAACGGAACTGCGAGTATGTAACCACTGCGAATTCTTGTAGATTTCTTCCTTCCTCACCACTGCCATGGATCTTGAAGGCATCAAACTTCCCTTCCTGGGTCTGTAAATTCATCAGAATCTCAACCGTATCTCCACGTTCAAGCCGTCGCCATGAGTTCTCTTTGCATAGTCAACTCCTTCACACGATCTTTCTTCCTACATGACATTCTCCCCACACAATGTGTAGATGAATATCTCATCTAAACCGTGTTGAAATTTTCTTTGTCGGTTAGTGTCCACTGCACGACACATCAGTCTTCAAAGTCCCCGCTTGCATTATCCGCATACAAGAAAAGGACCATACCAGACATACAATGAACATTCAGGCCATATGGTAGCCATGCCGAGTCTTCCAATTTGCACACACCTCAAGAGAACTCCTTGTCCTGTAAGTATGTCTTTGAGATGCGTTGATAAAGAGCCAGGTTCCAAATGTCTTGCTCTTTGAGCGCATACATCTTTCTCTGGAAACCTATTCTACATTGGACATTCACTGGCGATATTCGCAAACTCTTCAATGGCAGATCCTGACCCTGATGAATGGAAAATCCGGGGTTTCCCTTCCGAGAAGATCGGATTGAATGTTGGATTCTTGCTTGCGAAATTGTATAAAGTCCCGTCCAAGACTCCTCTTCTCGTCACAGTTGTGTTCTTCACTGACCGGGATCGCCTGAACAGCAACGTCAACTGACACCTCTTCAACTCTCACCCATACATCAAACTCAGTCCTCCCAGGTAAGAACGAGACCATGTCTGCGCCGGAGTGCCGAAGCTCATTAACCCAGCAGCAGAAGCGGACGAGGACCTTCTGCAGCACTTCGACGTCAAGGTCGGCAAAGATGGGACCAAACTCCTCCAGTGTCTCCTCTGCAAGCGCCTCATGCGCAATGTCACCTTCTCGTTGAAATGGCATCTCCAACACGTGTGCGAGAGAATAAGAGAGAAAGACAAAAACAGATCAATGCGCTCCACCGCGAGGATCACGCCCCGCTCCCACTACGACGACGAAGGTCTGGTTACTCATATCAAACACACCCGAATCGTATGCCGCCACTGCCACGAAGCTGTGACCGACCGCGCGCAAGCAATGAGGGCCCACGTGCAGACCTGTCTTCAGGGCAGGACTCAACCGGTAGAAGAAAACGCCTTCGCCGCCGAACTGCGACGAGACTATTTCGAAATCTCCCCCGGCGAGGGCGGCGGCGGCGAAGGGCGGTCCGTCTATCGGAAAGCGACTTGTCGCCACTGCCAGGCTGTCATGCAGGACCGCCAGCAAACGATGGTCAGGCATCTGGTTGGTTCTTGTCGTGCAACAGGTGCATACGGGCGGGTAGAAGGTAAACCCGATACTTCGGCGGGGAGTGGCGCCGCCTAAAAGTCGGCTCTACTGCCCCTGGAAGATGGGAGGATTATAAGGTCTTTGGGTCCTCCAATACCTAGTACGTTCTAATTGTTCTTTAAACGCCCGGACATATCCACCATAGCGGTAATTAATCATTATAAACTCTTTTAATCTTGTCTTACAGCGTGAACATATAATGTTTACTACTATACCAGGATCTACTCTATCTATGCCCTGCGATGTACAACTATGAACCAACCTTTTAACTGTATAACTTGCAGTCATGTTTCTTCGACTTGAAAAGCCCTTTTTCTGTGTATCATGTGGGCTTTATTCTTCAGAATGCGAGCCATGCCCTTGTGCACTCGAGCTTCTTGCGTGTTAATTACGAATCGGAGACTATGACCTCTCCTAAGCACAGACTCTTTGTGGCAAGACTGGGAGATTCCAAAATACTTTGGCGCTCTCATTTCCAATGAGAAGCACCTTATATCGATAGTAAAAGAATTGAATGATTTTTCCCGACGAGAGAAAAGCATCAATTGTGCACGGTTCTGGTGGGTATTTGCTTGCAGTTACAAGTTAGTATCGAAATTTGTCACCTTATAACTTTCTGTGATACAGAAGTATATATCCAGAGATTGGATGCGAGCAAGGTGCAACTAAAGTGGCCGTACAGCTGCTGGCCCCTCACATTAAACTTCCCTATGACTTTCAACATCTCTACTTTCAATCTGTATTCTTGCAGCAGCAGCTACATCGAAGCTATCTTTACTCAGCAACCATGAATCGAGAGAGCACGAGACTCCTCATCAGCCATGGTAGTAGATGGAAGATAGTCACATGACCGCTTATCTATCTAATCAGCCGCGCGATAACTAGCCCATCCATATCGGCAGAAAAAAAAAATTCAGAAGCTATCTGAGTCCAACAAGACTAGCGCCAGCGCTGTTCCTTTATTATTCGCATTACATTCTTCTTATTTGCATCAATTAGATCTCCATATCACTACTCTCTTTAGAGCCTCACAAAATCCTCACCCACGCCACCCCCTTCCCCTCACGGTACTCAATCACCCGGCAAAACCAACCGAGTCCAGTACCCCGCCATACCGCCGCCCGCAGCACAACACAACAACAATCCTCGACCCAGTCCTCGAAACTCCTCCTTTCGCGCAACCCCCAAACTCAGACTTACCTCAAACCCGCCCAAAAGCCCACCACCACGACCACCACCACTACCAAAATGTCCACTCACCCCGAAGAACCCACCGCCACCCCCCCGGCTGGAACCAACTACCTCGACCTGGGCATCACGCTCGCCCTCCACAACTGGCCGGCGCTGACGCTGGCCGTGCAATCCCTCTGGGGCGGCCCGACCTCGGTCGACAAGCGGGACTGGCTGTGCGGCGCGATCTCCGAGATGCTGGCGACGCGGCCGGAGACGGACTCGTACGACCTGGAGGACGTGCTGGTGCAGGTGATGACGGACGAGTTCGACGTGGACGTGGACGACGAGAGCGCCGCCGCCGTCGCGGACCAGATCATGGAGATGAAGGCGCAGACGGAGCGCGGGGAGTACGCCGGCATCCAGCACATGTGGGAGGTGTATCAGCGGAAGGGCGGACAAGCTGCTGCTGTGGCGGGGATTCAGCGGGCGGCGGGGGCGGGGGATGGGGGAGGAGGATAGTGATGATGATGAGGATGAGGAGGATGAGGAAGATGGAGCGATGGATGTGGATATGGATGATGCGGGGGCGCCTGCCTTGGTGCGCGCCCCCAGGGAGAAGGTGGAGCCGGAGGTCGATGATGATGGGTTTACGACGGTTGTGTCGAAGAAGCGCCGGTGAGGGGGTTTTTTTTTAATACTTTGGGTTCGAGGTTGTGCTTGATACTTAATGTTCTTCTGAGCTGGATGTATTTCGATTCCCCCCTTTTTTTTCTTCCTCTTGATATAGATAAATACACTGCCATGGTTACTATACTATACTGTACTAAAAGACTTCTTTCGGTCTTTGTGTTGTGTATCTGAAGCAAGTGTTGAGTGGGCATGGCGAGTTTTATGGCGTGATTTTCTAGTCGCTTTATATCGACCCAGCAGGAGCAAAAATGGAATCAAAATTCTCACAAAGAGAAAAAAAAATAAAATTCATCATCATCAACCAACGTTAAGCTTGTCATTGTGTCGAGCCCGTGGTCCCGCCCATGCCACCCTAGATTTGTCGAGCCCGACAAACTCTTTTCCTGTTGGCCGCGGTAAGAGTGATTGGGAGCTTATGCAATGGATGCCAATAAACCGATTATTCGCGCATTTACTCGGCAACAACTTCCTCGTTCTCGATAAGCTTGGTGATCATACCGATGGCAATGGTTTGTCCCTGAAAAGATGGGTTAGCGGCGCGCTTGATTTCAGCTTGTCTGGAGAGATCGGCTACTTACCTGGTCACGCAGGGTGAACCGTCCCATCTGCTCCGAGTAGGAGAAAGGTTCACAGCAAACTTGTCCAGCCGTCGAGGTGACCTCTACTCTGGCAATAACAGTCATACCCTTGCTGGCGAAGGCGGGCGCCTTCTTGCTGCGACGACCGGTGCCGGGTTCGAGCTACGAAGATAAGCGTTAGCGGAGGAGCGGGCATTTCGACGAGAAAGCGAGCATACCTTGTGCAGAAGAGCGGCGATAGTGACTTCTTCAACAGCCGAGTGCACGTGCATAACGCAGTTGAACCCGGCAGAAAGAATGCCCTTGATCTCGAGCAACTTGATCTTGGCCTCGAAAGAGTGGACGGAGTGGACCAGACGCCTGGGAGAGCACAGGACGAATCCGGGAAGAAGATCTTCTTCTTCAACACCGCGAAGACGCATGCGGACTTGGTCACCGCAACTGCCGGTGGCGATTTCGTCTTCGGTTTCACCATACAAAGCAGCAACTTCACACTTGGCAAGGCCGGGCACCACCACCATTTGGGAGCCCTTCTTGACGATCTGTAGCAGTGTTAGAAGATAGACACGAATAGGAATGGTAGGAGATACATACACCACTGTCGATCTTGCCTTCAACCATAGTTCCCATATCTCTGTACTTGGCGCTGACAGCCATGGCGAAAGGAGCATTCAGCTTTCTAGGAGGGAGCTCCATGTCGCCGAGGTACTCCAGCAACGAAGGTCCATCGTACCAAGGGCACACGTCCTTCGTGACCTATATTGGCCAGTTAGCAGAGAGATTCCGTGATATGAATGACTTATACTTACCCGGTCCTTAATGTTGACCATAGTCTGTGCACTGATGGGCATGAAGGTCAAATCTGCATTCAAATGTCAGTATGTCTGGCACTTCCTACAATGATGATGAATTGTGTACTGACCGGCCTTTGCGTAGCCCAATGCCTCCAAGAACTTGGCCACCTTTGTGGTGCAAACCTTGAAACGCTCCTCGCTCCACTCGACGGTAGGGTCGTCCATCTTGTTGACGGCAATGACCAGCTTGCGCACACCAGTGTTTCTGGCGAGCAAAGCGTGCTCACGGGTTTGGCCGCCCTTCTCGAATCCGGTCTCGTACTCACCCTTACGGGCAGAGATGACAAGGACACCGACATCGGCCTGGGTAGCACCACCAATCATGTGGTGCACGTAGGCCTTGTGACCAGGGGCGTCCAGAATACTGCAGCTTCTGGTGACACCGTTCTTCAGCTGGAGATCGAAATGGGCGCGGCCAACTTCCACGGTCTTGCCCTTAGCGCGCTCCTCGGGGTTGAGATCCAAAGCCCAGGAGAGATACCAGGTCTCACGACCCATTTCCTTGGCGTCTCTCTTGTACTTGTCCAAAGTACGCTCATCGACCATACCAGTGGCGACGAGAATGCAGCCTCCCAAGGTGGATTTGCCGGCATCGACGTGTCCGATGAAAACCACGTTGACGTGCTCCTTCTTCTCAAGCTCGCCGTACAGTTCGTTCAGGGTGGCCTCGTCGACGTCGGCCTTCTGCTCCTGGGCGACAGCATCGGCATGGCGAGCAGCCTTGACCACCTCGGCTCTGGAAGGGCTGGAGCGGCCAGGGGATGACCGGCCGGAGGCGGGAGCAGGGGAGGACTTGCCACTAGCAGCAGCCTTGGCCTCCGCCTTCTTCTCGGTCTTCTCGATAGCCTTGGAAGCCGTCACCTTAGCGGCGGCGTCGGCGGCAGCAGCACCCTTAGTGTCACCGGGGGTGGCCGTACCCGAAGTCGCGGGGCTGGGAGAAGCGGAAGTGCCACCGATGGAGAGGACCTTCGTCTTCGGAGCATTGGGGGAGTCGCTGGCGCCGCTGACGCTGAGAACCTTAGCCTTGGGCTCGGCGCCAATGCTCAGGACCTTAGCGGCGGGCTTGGGGGCAGCGGGCTTGGGCTCCGCAGCGGGCTTGGGTTGTTGCTGAGCCTGCTGAGCCTGTTGGGGCTGCTGCTGATAGCCACCGTATTGTTGCTGGCTGTAGTATTGGTTGTAACCGGGCTGCTGAGCATAGGCTCCGTATTGTTGGCCGTACTGACCGTAAGGCTGCTGCTGCTGCTGCTGCTGCTGCTGATATCCGTATTGTTGGCCGTACTGGGGATATCCGCCGTACGATTGCTGACCGGGAACGAATGATGCGGCGCCGGGGGTAAACGAGGCAGCGCCAGGAGTGAAGGTCGAGCCTTGGTAGCTGAACTGCTGTTGCGGGCGACGGCCGTTGTTGTTCAGGTTCACACCTTCGGTCTGTCTGGAGAGCTCATCCTCCCAGGATTCGGGGGTTTGGTTGGCCATGGTGTAGAACGCTGGAAAACCGCAAAGAGAGCAAACAACTCAAGAAAGGTCCCAGAGATATCAAAAAACAGGTCTGGAAGACGGGAAAGAGGGGTGAAAGACAAAGTGAAAGGCCAAATGAGGGGCGTTTTTTCTCCGGAGCCCGATTGATTTTGCTGCTGGCTGACTCAGCTGCGTCTCTTCCCCGCCTCCGCGTGTGTTGCGTTTGCCGCGTTTGTTGCTGGTTACGGCGACTTCACGCCGAATAATAAAACTGCAAGCTCAAAGCAGGTGACATAGAAGAGAAAAAAAAAAGACTTCAAAAATCCATGGATGGTGCTCAACTGCTAGACTAAACAACAGACAACGTGGTGGCTTATCACCGATCAACACCTCAGAACAACCCAAGGCCGCTACGGGCCAGTTGCATATAGCAGCTATCGCCGATCTACATCACTCTGCAGCTGCCATAGATCTGAGGTAAAATGGATGTTTTTTTGGCCAGAGTAAGCTCTCCTGTCTCCTGTCACGCTATCTACAGACTAATTTCTTTCTTAGCTCACCCAGCAGGCAATGAACTATGCCATTCGGTATGACTCGGCGATTCTTGGCCTGATCTTGTTGGGCAGCTAGCTGACTGAGTGGACTCATAGCTCGGGAATAGCCATAACAGCCAAATATGCCATCCGTCAGTCATCACGGCTGCTCAAAGTTAGTTCAGAACCTCGTCATTTGCCAGAAGTCCCTGGAAGCTTCGTCACTGACGCAGTTCAGAATGTCGATAATTGCGAGGAAAGAGACGAATTGCTCTCTCTGCAGCACCGCTTGGAGAGCAAGATCCAGGTAAGCTTCGCGCTCTCCAAAACTTCTACACGCGAGTATAGAATAGTGCGCTAAAGACGGACGACAGGTCATATCTCCTGCTATCGACATGATTGAGCTTATGTGAGTCTCATATCCACAGCGTAGTGAGAAACACGTTCTAATTCCCCGCAGCGCTGCAAGAGGAAACACATCGCTCGAGTCAGCAGTATTTCTCACCAAATCTCTACGATGGGACATACAAGCTCTGGGCCAGCGATTAGCAAAGGCTGCAACATCGGAAGAGCTCTACGCCCGAGGAGCGAACCCCAACCGCGATCGCTCGCAGCAGCAGAAAGAAATCCAGCATATCATCCGAGACATCAAGAAACTGCTTGTGCGCATCGAAGATGCAGTGCCCTTGATGAACCTGGCTATTACGACCTCTGGCGCTAAGCTTTCAGTCAACCTACCATCGACTGTGTCGCCCTCTCGGTTGCTGCAGGCGAGCACGTTCTTGACCGCAGGCGATACCCAGTACTCCATGTCTCCGTCCCACGCCGTGCAGATTGGTCCAACATTTACGCTATCGATGTACATGCTCTTCGCAAGTCATCTCCGCCCGCATGACGAGGACGGCATACGCGAGGCAACTTGGAAAGAGGTCATGCACAAAGCCCGCTTGAAACTCCGTCGGGTGCCCATGGACCTGGCAACACATCCGCAGCACCGGCAAACGCGGCACATAGGTTTCCCCGGTGACGCACGAGTGGATGAGTTCGCCTACCAAGTGCTCATAGTCGAGGACCTCGACGACGGGCGAGTGCACACTTTCGACGAAGGCGAAGCGCAGCCCGAGCACTTCGAAGGAGTCAACACCGCCGGACTGCGCGAGATCCTCCCCATCCACCAAATCTCCAAGATCTTCTACGCCGACACCGGCAAGATCCTGAACATCAGCACCGAGGGAGAAACGAACAACCCCGTCCTCCTCCTCAAACGCGACATCAACGCCATCCCGCCTCGACGCATGCTGGAACGCGACGAGTCGGAGCTAGGCCATGTCTCCGACAGCCAGGACGACAACGACGAAGACGAGCCCGACGAGCTCCAAGCCCAACTCGACGCCCAGCTCAACAACAACAACAACCACGACGACCACCCCAGCTTCCACGAAGACTCGATCCCTTCGCAATGGCGCCTGCCCAAAGACCTGGACCCGGAATGGATCGCCTTCGAAGTCTACACAGAAGAAGAGTCTTCCGACTCGGACACCTCCGACACAGAAGACGACCCCGCCTCCCAAGCAATGGCCAAACTCTCCCTCAATCCGACGCACAACTCCCCCGTCCCGACCCCAGCCTCCACCACATCCTCCTCCACCAAACGCTCCCCACGTCTCCAACCCCCGCAAACCACAACCGTCTCCAACCCGCACTTCAACAACATCCGCACCTCGCTCTCACTCCTCGAGACCCTCCTCCGCCTGACCTCTCTGCAGCAATTCCAGCAACAATCCCACCTCTCCATCAGCGACGAGCTTCTGAACTTCTTCCTCGAGGAGTCCTCCACCACCGGCGCCGGCGGCGACGAGCAACACCGCCAGCGACTCCGCACCGACGCCCGCCGCCGCGTCGGCTGGGACCCCTACGACGAGAGCCCCGTCAAGCGCCGCGGCGAGGACTACCAGTACGCCTACGATGCCCACGACCATGACCACGACCACCGGGGCACCACCCCGCTCCGCTACGGCCGCGACGACGAGAGCGAGTACCCTTTCTCCCCCAGCGACCGTGTCCGCGGCTTTCACCTCCGTTCCCGGGAGGCCACACCCGAAACGCCCTTGTCCTCTGTTGCCACTGGTGGGGGTGGTGGCGGGCGGGCGGAGAGGCATCGTCATCACAGTAAGCTGCGGATGGCGGGTGGCACGTCGTCCTCGTCGTTGCACGCGGAGGACGGATCCTCGCGCAGGGGGTCCCCGCTCTCGAGACGGTCTACCCCCGTGCCCAGTGTTGAGGGGTCGGAGCATTAGAGCTCACGCACGCCCTTTGACCTTGCGTGTGATAGGGCAGGATATCCCGAAATCATGTATTTATTTCTTGCTCAAGACAGCCCGTACATTGTCACATACACTAAGTCTCAATGACGCAAGGTAATGATCTGATCTACGAGATTTTGACGAAAGATGGTGTGCTCTGCGAAACTATGTTTTGAATACTTCTTAGTGTTTGTGTGGATTCAGTATCTGTCAAGGTCGATGGTAGACTTCATAAATGGATGGATTATCACTCAGCTGCGCCACTGTGCCACTGCCAGGCAAACCAAGTTCCCTCCTCGATTATGACTAAAATACCACTAATGGAGGAAACTGGAGGAAGGCAGCAGATAAACACTGGAGCTAGTTGGATACGCACGGTTTGCTGACGGGTTGAAGGGGGGGGGGTGGTGACAAATACGTGATCAGAATTGAGGGGAAATGAGATATGATATCAAAACGGGGATTCTTAACGCCATCACAATCAAAGAGTTTGGAATTGAGAACAGGCAGCCATAAACTCCTTGCAAAAAAGGACTAGGTAATAGTAGGAAGGGGATTTCGAATCCTTCAGACCAGCCAGCGGTCAGGTGTATGCGGTTAAGGTAGGGAGGAGAGACTTAAAAACGCGGAATGCTACTGGGTGGATTTACGCGAAAAGAGACAATTACTCCCAGTCGTCGTCGCTTTCATCGTCCTTGGGCTTCTCCTTGGGGCTTGCGGGGGTGCGGCTGGTGGCTCCGCTGACGAGATCGTAGCTGGATTCGCTGTCGGGTTGGGATTGCTGGTCGTTGGAGCGACGGGGCTCGGTTGGGTTGGCGGTCTTCACGATGGTGGTGGTGGTGGTGGCGGCGGGGGCGGTAACGGTGGTGGCAGCAGCAGCAGCAGCAGGGACAGGGGTGGCGGTCTGAGTAGTAGTGGTGGGGATGGTGGCAGTAGTGTTCGATTTGACCTGAGGGGTGGACGGGGAGTCGGTCTCCTCGTCGGAGTCATCGTCCCACTTCACTTCCTCGTCATCGACGGTTGCACCTATAGCTCATTGTCAGCAAGAGTAATCTACAAAAATAGCCGCAAGCCAACATATTGTAACCATGGCAAGAAAGGATATAGACATACCCTGCAGAAGTTCCTTGCGCTTCTGTTCCTCAGTCTCGATAACCAGACGAAGGAAGTAGTATCTGCACCAGAAGGTAGCGTATTCCACCTTCTCGGGAACCAACTTCTCCATCGCCGAGCGCAGCTCAGGATACTTCTCGAGATCGGCCGCGACCGCCTCGGTCTTCTCCGCGATCATGAACTCCTGCTTGAACGCCGGCCAGAGCTCGCTGACCGGATCGTTGGTGAAGCTCTCGAGGGTCGAGTGAATGACGTGCAGCTGAGCCTCGAAGCGCGTGGCGTGGATGACCCGCTTGCCCTCCGCGTCCTTGCTCTCGAACAGGAGCTTATCTCCGGAACCCTCACTGCTCGGAGGCACGATGCTGACCGCCTCGCGCAGTTTCTGGCCGATGTTCATCCCAAAGCGCAAGATCGCCTCATCGGCAGCCTCCTCTGCCTTCTCGATTTCTTTCAGTCGACGGGCTGCCTCGGCCTTGAAGCGGGAAAGGAACCCCTCACCCGGCTTGGAAGCCGAAGCTGAAGAAGCATCGGCAGCGCCGCCGGCATTGAGGCTTTTCTCCCCAACAGTCGACGATGCATCTGCCTCGACCTTGGAGGAGGTACCGGTCGGCGTAGACGTCTCGTCTTTGCCGGTGGTGCTGGCCCCTGAGCTGAACGCCGTGCTCAAGGAGAGACCCCGCGTGCGCCCGACGAGATTGCTCCTCAGGTCAGAAAGGCCCTTGGCGGCCTCCTCGCTGGCAGCAGCATACTCCTGACGGGCCCCCTCATAATAGTTCTCGCCCTGCTTGCGGACGTTATCCCAGAGTCCACCGATGCGTGCACCCCAGGGGCTGGCGGAAAAGGCGCGGAATGTTTCTTGAAGCTCGGCGTTGAGATCGACGTTGGAGCGCTCCGTCTTGGCGGGCTCGTTCTGGTCCGTTTCCTTCTTCGAGGCATCGTTGGAGGAGAAGATCTCCTCCTGGATGTGGTCGTACGCTACATCCATCTCTGCCAGTTGGAGATAGCGAGCAAGTTGGAGTTGAAAGTTGGGAACTCAAATGACGGAGCGGCGGGTCAATGGGCGGGCGGGCGGTTTGGTTCCCGGGGTTACAACGGCCCGATCGCCCCCACGTAGTTTCAGGGTCTATTTATATTAGTTAGTTAGATTACTGGAATGTTTTGCTGCGAGTCCCGTCCGCTTGTCTTATACAGGTGCTGCTGCTTTTGTAAGAATAACACAGCTGAGATACTGTTGTCCAAATATTCGATGGTTCAGATGCAGTCTCTAGCCTTAATAGCAAGTCGAAGTTCGTTATATAGATTTGTTATAGCGCCTGGCTGGTTGGATTTTGTTGATGAAACATGGCGACTTTCAGGTCTAAAATGGCTGACCGAACCAGGTGCTTATCTGACATATCCTGCGCGTTCGATCCACGGTTTGCCCCTGCTTCGCTCAGTCTGCCCTTCGTCTGCCCACCATTCACCCATCGTCCACTCATCCTCTTTCCACGATTTACCACCGTCTCCCACTATCTACCCACCAACTGTCCACCACCTAAGGCCAGATCAAAAGATCCTGTAGTGCACCTGGCATTATTAATTTCTCGTGGTGATTGGCAAGACGGGCGGGACGAATATGCACTGGTTGGAAAAGAGCCCTTCGACAACCATACAGATGCGCAGTCCTCTGCCTGGGTTTCCGGCGTTTTACTTTTTTACCAACACGTAGTACTCAGAGCACTATAGAAAAGATGTAACCCGGCTTGGACGGACCTCTACTTCCCAGTTTCCTTGTACTGTGTCTTCACAGCTTATTTCATACTCATATCCTTTCATCTTGGGTTTCTCGCCAAGAAGAGATGCTGATTTGCGGACAGGATTTGAAATATAATCTTATTATACCTACGGTCTGAGTCCGGTCCCTAATATAATACGCTCCTGCTAACGACGCTTCGTCCTGTGTCTTACTATCTTTCTAAATAATTGTTTAGATAGATGACACGGTCGGTTAGAATATAAAAACCAGCTCTCGTCATCATCAGAGCTTCCCTGTCAGGAATTGAGCTTCTCCCATGCCAAAGCTCCAATCTTCGGGCGTGTTCTCCACCGCACTGATGATCAAATCCTCTCCAGACACACCGCATTCTGCAAGTTTCTCATAGAGGGCCTTGAATGCAGCTTGCTTCTGTTCTCTGTTTCGTCCCTGCTGAATTATCTGAATGATCACAATGCCACGGCCCCTCTTATATCCCAGGTTTGTATCTTCGCAGATGAGCTCATACTCTTCGTGTTGCGTGATTATCTTAGAAATAGCGTCAAGTGATGGCCAGTAAAAGGTTCGGAAACGTTGAAGCTTGACAGTACCTGATAGCGGTCACGTTCGGGAGCTGCAAAGTGCTTGAGCATGACCTCCTGGATCGCGTTGGCCAACCTCTGGAGCTGGTCCGGGGTCCTCGTCCCCTTCACCACATCAATTCGAACCAAGGGCATCTTAAATGGGGGGAGGTAGCCAGTTCAGTCTTTGTAGTAAATTCAACGGAAAGCTGCAAGTTGATAATCTTACTGCACAGCAGTGTAATAAGCTCCTAGGATACTGATAAAGAAATATGCACCGCATTTAAAGCTCGAATGGTGCCGATACGTGATCCCGCAATATCCGCTAGAGCCAGACCTATGACTTCATCCAATACACGACTAAATCAAGAATCAGTTACATAGTGCAGGCTCTCTTCCATACTTGTACTATTTGCCTTGCTACCTTCAGAAGCGTACTTGCTTCTTTTGTCCATTCATTTGAGCAAAATGATCACCGCATCGACTGTGACTGGTAACCAGAACTTACATTGTCCTCCTGAAGAACACATCATTAATCTAACTAACGATCCCAATTCAATACTTCACACTCTATGGGGGTTGAGTCAGAGTATTCCTGTAAACATAGGCATAGGCACTCAGCCAGAAGTATAGATACCATGTTCTAGCTAACCTACTTGAGGGAATAGGCTAGAGGACCATGACAACATGTGGGCTTCCGTACACAAAGTTTAGGTCATTACACCTTTATAATCAGGGCACCTAGACTTATTTCTTAATGTTCTAAAATCCTTAAAGCACGAGAATAGAGTGCTTCGAATAGAGGAATCTCTCGGTGCTGTTTGGATTCTGCGACCATGCCATTGCCTCGTGTTTCCTTAGTTGGCATTGCGTCCAACCCTATCATAGGACTCATCATCATGTTTTCCGCAACGATTGAAAGCCTCAATCAAGGATCCCGTCTAAGGTTTCATTTCTTAAACTTTGGATTACAAGTCCCACGAGTCAAAGTACCGAAAGCAGAGTATTTCAGCATATAATTCTAGTCGACATATGTTGAGCAGAGCAAGAAGATGGCGAGCTGAAGGACACTTGTAACTTAAGTTCATCATGTACATGGTACTACAACAACCCCATTGGCAACGCCCGACAAGAATTGCACGGATCATTTTACTCCAAGATTCAACTTGACGGCTCACCATGCAGCGATACCAGATCTTAGAGCACACTAGGCCCACGCAGAGAGGGCTTGACATGATGATGAAGAGGAGAGGAAACAGACTTCCCTGTCGCAAACCCAATCACTCCTGCATATAATCAGAGCCCATCGCATCGATAGCAGGAGATGTGCAAGGAAGGGGAGGGCATGACTTACCACATGCAGGTCGTCCACCCGCATTTCCAGTCTTCTTCGATTCCACATTATTACCACGACCAAGGTCATCACACCCAGCGTGAATGACGATCGTACGCTAAGACGGGAGAATTAGGCATAACTGTTTCTTTCCCCCCTCCCAACAGAAGCCTCGCGGTTGTCAACTTACTCCTATAACGCTTTCAGGGCCCATCAGCTTGATTAGCTTGTCTTGCATGACTCCTACTGAGGCCCCCTCTGAATCGGTCCGGAAGTTTCCCAGATCCCCTACATGACGGTCGAGGTCGCTGGGACCACCATGTGTCTTTCCAAATGGGTTGACTGTAGCCTTTTTATCAGCACTCAGAGGTGGGCTGCAGTAGATTGGATGCGAAATGGTAACGCAATGGAGGGGAGGGAAACCTACAATGAGGCCCTGCAGAGGTGCACCCATTAGTGTTGTCACCGAATTCATGGATGTGGAAACCTCGGTCACTGTTCGGATCGTTTCCTCGGAGGTTCCATGTGATGGTGGTCGGTGCGACCTCATCGTATTGCTCGAAGGTCACAGTACCGTGTACATTCGAATCACCCCTTACGGTTGCAACTATTGAATATCAGTATCATGCAGTTCTCATGTCTCTAATATTCCTTGATAGACGAACTTGCTTTAACCATAATAATGTCCTTATGTGTTGATTAGACGTATTGAGAAGAGATATAATTTGACATCGAGAACCATCAAGCATGGTGAATAGATTCAGGCAAAACAGGCACAATATATGTACCTATATCTTCAGAGAAGCTTGATTCTCTCCATGGAACGAAAGTTGAGAGATCGCCACACTGATTCCAGCGGAACGGCGGAGACTTGCTGCGGCTATTGCGGCTATCTTCCGCGGAGATATCTGGCGACATCTTTCCTTGGTTCAATCACCAGCGGTGCGAGCGGAGGGCTTTTCAGCAAGAGAACCCGAGGGATCATTTCCGAGAACAGAGGCCTCAGCGTCTGCGCTATAAGTTGGACTGATGGTTTTTCCCCCAATGTCGTCACGACCGATAAAGCGGGAGTAGTAACATCTCGGATTTTGAGGAAACTAGCTAGGATATTGGAAAACAAGGAACAAATGCAGACTGGATACCCAATTGCCACCGGCAGATCGAAAATATACAAATATGCCGCTGGTGAACATGATTCATCAACGACGCTGAAACAGATTTACTGCCACATTCTTCCTTCCCAGGGTCTATATTAGCGCTTCTTCGTTGACAGATAACTGTGGAAAGGCCCTATCCACCGGACACAATGGCAGGACCGCGATCAATTCATCAGCTTTATCCTTGGACCCAGTCCCCCCTTATTGTCTCTGCTCCGATGCGAGATGTCTCCGGGCCGGCACTGGCAGTTGCTGTATCGGGAGCTGGTGGACTCGGCTTCATCGCGGGTGGTGATGACGTCTCTAATCTGGAATCCAAGCTCGTCGAGGCTCAGAGACTCGTTGCAGCACGCAAAGCTCGCAACCTTTCCCCGGATCAGAATCGCGTACTTCTTCACGACGACTCGACCCTTCCAGTTGGGGTGGGGGTCATCAACTGGGGCGCTGACCTGGACGTCGCGCTACCGCTGATAGTAAAATATCGCCCTTGTGCGGTCTGGCTGTTTGCCCCATCTACAAGCGCCGCAGACCAAGTGCCATGGGTGGAGAAGATTCGCGCAGAGACGGATGGCAAGGTGTCAATCTGGGTCCAAGTAGGGAGTGTTCAAGACGCAATGGATGCCGCCACTCAACTGCGGCCAGATGTCCTTGTCGCGCAGGGAAGCGATGGCGGCGGCCATGGTCTGGCCAACTCGGCGAGTGTCCTCGTCCTCGTGCCCGAATTGATTGATCAGCTGCACGCCACCACCACCACCACCACCATTAACAGCGGACCGGACTCGAGTTCGCCGACCATCGTCCCCAAAATCGTGGCCGCAGGGGGCCTGGTGGACGGACGCGGTGCCGCAGCAGCGTTTACTCTCGGTGCAGAGGCGATTGTGATGGGTACACGCTTCCTTGCGTCCTTCGAGGCAGACGTTCCGAAAGAGTATCAGGAGGCTGTGGTTCTTACCACCGACGGTGGCCTCAACACCATTCGTTCTCGCGTTTTTGACTCCGCCCGTGGAACGGTCAAATGGCCGAGCAAGTATCAGGCACGTGGTGTTGTGAACCGTACGTATACCGACTTCCAAGCGGGCAAGGTCACGGAGTCGGCCAGTTACGATCAATATCAGGAGGCTTTATCCCACGAGAAGGAGAAATACGGTCCACATGGGAAGATTGATACTTTCTTTGGGACTGGTGTAGGGCTAGTGAGAGAGATACTACCGGCTGCTGAGATTGTTCGACGAATAAGGCAAGAGACGGAGAGCATCCTGAGATCAGACCGCTTGTCTAAGCTCTGAGTTGCTGGCTTTTGGAAAATGCTCAAGGAGTCGACATGTCGACCTATGTCTTTTCTTATCTTTATCTGACTACCTAGCTTTCTAATTGTCAATGCTAGAATTGCTTACTCTTGATAAGGTGATTGCGGGGATTTCGACCAGACGGAAAAGAGATACAACACGTCTATGGTGGAATGTAGACCTTCTGTAAGCTACAGAAACACCAAATCTAGACCTTAAGGAGGAAGTGAGCAGACCCTCTGGCTGCACGCGTGAGAGCTTACATATCCGGTTGTACAAGGAAGCCTGGTAAGCTTTCGGTCAGTTAGGCTTATAATTTGATGCTTTTTGTATATGCTATTCGTAGACTGAATGTTGTAAGGTGCCTTATGTACGCTGTAGGTGCAGTTTGAAATAACTCTATGTCGCCGGGCACCTGACTTTATGACGTACTATATGCATACTCGCAGCTCGGGTATTGCGGGAGTGTGGCTCAGGGCGGGCGAGCAGGTCTCCTGTTCAGAGTCCATTCGATTGATTCCTTCGGTAGCACTTCATGAGTGGAGCAACAAGATGTGGAATACCAAATCAGCCCAAGCACCCGGTTTACAACTTGAAGGCTGGTTAGTCATGAGGTTATAACAGCTACGGTCTGCATTCGTAGCACTAAAAGCTAGAGCTAACCCAAATATTGTGTCAACCCACTGACATAATTGTGATTCTTAGAGCAGACCGCCACCATGTACAGTTGTGATACCCTCAAATTCCCCTCACAAGGTTATCATGATCCGAAATCCCAGTCAATGCGGGTATTGCGGGTTTCAGGACCCCCCACAAGATAGCACACGGGTTGCCACTAATTCAACTCTATGGAAGCCCGGGGCCGGTCAATATCATTTAGGTAAGGTCATATCTAGATGTCTCCATGAGACGTGACGAAGATAGTAGGAAGTACAACTTACATAGAGTCAGGTATGTCAAATGCGACAGTTGGTCATTACGACCCACCCGCCGGTATGCGGCTTGCCCAAATCGACCTTTCCCGACTTCTTCCATGGCGTATGCTTCGCCGATGGGAAAACCAGGGCCTGGTTGTTACCGTTCAGTAGGCTACTTTAATCATTTCCCTGCACTAGTTGTGCAAAGAGAGATACTAAGTAAGCCAGGCGAGGGTGGGAGGACATCCAGAACTATGGCCCGCGCCCGGATACTGTCTTCTGGACCAGGTTTATCGGTGCGAGTATTGGGGACTCATCAGTAAACTCTTTAATCATTTCATTGTCATAAAACATTAGATGCAGGTATCGCTTTCTGCAACACGCTTCTCCTAAACCTTTATCTCAGCACCACGTTGTGTATGAAACTTATCAGAGGTAAGGGCGCGTCGGTAGCAGAATACACGCATAGTCGCTTATAATAAGCTGCCCAGCTAGGATTAATTTACAGCTCTACGAGAAGTATCCTTTCCTTTCATCTACTAGTTCACCAAATACTCGCTTTGGCTGGGGAAAGAATGGTTTTTGGAGATTGGATAAATGGAACAGATGGTGTGAAAACGATCAACAAGCTAGATTTGCTTCAGAAATTCCTCTGCTGATAAAACGTACTATAATGGGCTGGGGGGGGGGGGAAGCAGTCAGGATAGCCACAAGATTTGCGCAACCGTAATAAAAAACAAGCAGAATATCGGACCGGATTCTTGATCAGTCCCCCAAATGGCGAAGTGTTTTCTCCAATTGTTCCTAACAAGTAACGAGCTGCCTACCAGGTTACAGGAAGCTCGATAACGCCCACGTCCTTGCGAGCAGGTGTCCACTTGATTTCCGATTTAGGAACCGCTAATTTGAGGTTCGGAAGGGTCTGGAAGAGCGTAGCTGTAAGGCAGAACAGCTTGTCAATACTGCTTACTAAAAGGATAATACATCAGATCAAGAGATATGAGTGGACTCACAGAAAACCGTCTCAAGCTCAGTTCGAGCAAGTCCCTCTGCAATGCAACGGTGGTCGCCCCAACCAAAGCCAAGAGCTTGCTCAGTGCCACGTTCACGGAACATATTAAAGGTGTCGGGGTCAGGGAACACGGTTGGATCACGATTAGCAGCTTGATTAGAAGCTATGATGCCTTCACCCGCTCTGACGATCTGTGAAAGGTTAAATGACATGCATACGAGGGAATGCAAAACAGCTTCTTACATTGCCACCAAGCTCAATATCTACCGTTGCTACACGGCGAGTGGCGAAGGAAGATGCGGTATGGTAGCGGCACAGCTCTTCAACAAACGCTTTTGCTAGCGAAGGATCGTTGATCAGACACGAGCGTTGATTAGGGTTATCAAGTAAGGTGATGACACCCTATGCATTCCAAGTTAGACAAAGTGGATTTGTCACTCCGGACGAAACGAATGAGGACTCACAAGAGATATCATGTTGATCATAGTCAGATTACCAGCAACTAAGATCAAGAAAGACAGCTGAACAACGTCCTGTCTCTCCAAGTTGCCTCGCTCCAGCTGCTCCTTGGCCAGAGAACTGATCAAGTCATCGCCGGGGTTGGCAATCTTTTGATCCAGTAGACGATCAGAGTATTCTAGAAGATCCCACTAAACAACATTGTCATGTCAGAGGATTGCCTTTAGCTCCCAGCATGCTCAGAGCAGGGACCTACTCGTTAGCGGATTGCGCCGCACCCGCAGTGTTGCTACCATTGGTCCGAGTAGCATTGCAGTTGGTGAGATACTCAAAGTCCTTGTCTGGGACACCAATAATATGATAGATAATCTATCACGTCTCATGGTTTAGTGGACCTTCGTGGGAAAAAATGGCCAAGGTAGAATAGCCCCATACGCACATGAGAAGGGATAGGAAGAGCGAAGTTCTCAACCAGGTCCACGCTTTCCTGATCTCCTTTGGCTTCAATGAGCTTTGCCAGATATCTCTGAACGGTGTCCTTGATAAACCCTTCACGGCTTTGTACAAACTCAGGCCTGAAGAATTTCGAGACCATAAACCTGATCATTTTAATGTCTGCAATCTCATGCATCTCGGCGAATCAACGGAGACGAACCTCTGGTGACCGTGGGCAGGTGGATCCATGTCTACAAAAGTAGGACGGTTCTTAGCCGCCTTCTTTGCGCCTTGCGAGATTTCAGGAAATCCATGTCTCTGGCGCTCCTTATCGGTGATGATGGTTAGTAGGTGACTCGCAATCGAAGAGGAGACATGGCGGATTCACCTTCGACAGGCGTGGGTCGGTCAAGACATCACAGACATCTTTGTGCCTGACAGCCAGGTACGGACGGGAGCCATCGAACAATTTAACCCGGGACACGGGGCACGATCTCAGCAGTTCTTGGAACGATTTGGAAGGCTGATCGCCGTTTTCTCCCTCGGGACGTGCGAAAGGGAACTCCAAGTGGGGAGAGCTGATTGTGCCTGCTGCTGCTGTCAGTCCTCATTATCCCGTTGCTCTAAGATTTGATGTATTCGTACTGGGTGCCATTTTAGGGCTTGCGTTTAGTTGGCTATTGCTTGGTCGTCTTGGCAAGTCGGATATTCGAAGTAGCTGCTTTAACTATAGAGCTTTGAACAATCAGATTCTGCCATATATATATGTATATGATGCTACTCTAAACGTCAACTCGTATAACGTCATGGCATCTTCTCAATTCCAGGTTCTTGGGTTCGTAGGTCATCCGGTGAATGTCCCCTCCGATCCAGCCGCAACAGCCGCTTTGTAACAGCCAATTGGTGATACAGGCAGAGCTTGCTGGTCAGACATTTTTATGATGTCTTCAAACAATGAGTTTGAATCTTGGAGCTTGAGAAAACCACGCCCTGAATGACTAATTTTCAGTGAGTACGTGGAGAACGAGGTCAATAGACCAACCGCGAACCCTGAGATGGTTGATCCCGCCGGGGCCAGTTGCCGGCTGTTGCGGAGCGGCTATTGCGGAAGGCTGCTAGGCCCAGATGGAGGTCTGGCCAGCGAAGTTGAGCGAAACAAGTGCAACAACTTTCAACCTTGTGAATCCTTGACCAAGTATCCACAACAGCTATTGTTGGCTGATAAGGGCCGAGTACTAGGTATCTGTTAAGATCTCCTGCCTCGCCCCGATGTAATATTCTTTGGAGATGATGCACGGTGACGCTATGACGAGATGCGTTACAAACCCTATAAACAGCATCATGATCTCAGCTACAGGGCTTTGGTCGGTCACGGAATCCGGATTTCGATGCAAGATGCAGCGGACAGAGACCTCATTCTTCGGGATTTATCAATAGGCTCTTAGGCATCTAGTTCCATCATTCTTGTGATTTTCCAGGTATTTGTCGATTGAGCAGAACAGGGTGAAACTTGATGAAGGATCGAATTGTGTAGACTACCAGGATAGATACCTGCTGGCTTTCGCCTTCTATTTTATCTCTTTTACATGAACAGTCTTCTCATGTAGCTTGACTGTTGCATCTGGCTCGATGAAGATGAGCTTCAAACATCTCAATCATCCTTGCCACCTTCTGATCGCCCGGTGGGAGGAACTGGGCGCCCAGGACTCCGCAAAGATCGGACTCCTTATCAATAAACTGCGGGACTTATTAAGATCGGAAGCAGACGGAAGAAGAAACAAAGAGAGAAGAAATGTAATCTGTTTTACTTACCCAGAACAAATTAGGTTTTCCACTCCAGAACAGCGTGTTTTTCCGCCGTCCCAAGGGCTCATTTTCCAGCGCTAGCATGCCACCAAGTCCCCAGTCATACAGGCGCCTGTTGTCAAAGATGCCAATGAATGAGGATTCGGGCTCGGACTCGCGGACACGTCTCTGAAGAGAGTCTCGACTGAGTGGCGCGAGCTGTGGCCGAAATATTTCTGCAATCGATTCGCCGGTGAGGAGCTTCCCATCATCTGCCAAGATCGAGTGTAGAACCTGTAAAAACTCCTCCAGGCATCCGTATATACCTTGTCCACCAAAGCATTCACTGACGCCCTCGGTCAGAAAGGGCTCCTCCAACTCTGTGAACGCCCCGGAAACCACGTCCCGCACCGACATTCTAGCCTGTCTGGTTTTGCCAGTTATGCTGGTCGGCCAGAAGCTCATCCGTTCAATACCCAGAGGCTGCCAGATGTGTCTCTTAATGTACAGTTCCAGGCTCTGCCCTGTAATGCGTTCAACGACCTGTCCGACCCAGTCAATCCCGGTGCCATACTCCCATGCTGTGTCCGGCTCGAACAGCAGCGGATAGCCGAACCGTTCGTCAACCGTTGCGCCGGAGTTGGGGACCCGTCCGTGATAAGCCGCGAAACGCGCAAGCTCGGAGTTGCTCATATCATAAGCCGTCCCACTGCTGTGGGTGAGCAGAGATCGGAGGGTGATTGCGGTATGACGTGGGTGAAGGAGGGGTCGGCCTGTCGTAGCATCCCAGCCATATAAGATCTCCTGACGAGCCAGTCCTGGTATCAGAGGCGACACATCCGTATTAAGCTCAACTAGCTTCTTCTCTACCAGCTGTAAGGCAGCAACAGTAGTTATAAGTTTGCTCATAGATGCGAAGGCCATAATAGATTTTGTGGTCAGCGGCTTTGCAGCCGATGTACAAACCTCTCGTCCGAAGGCTTTGGCGTAGCGGAAGCTGCCACTTTGATTGGTCGCGGCAACCACCACACCAGGCCATGTTCCATCTTCCACTGACCTAGAGAGTGCTGTTTCGAGGTCATCTAAAAGCCCTTGTGATCTTTTATGGCCGTTCATGGGCGGTCTTGAATCAATAGTCGTTTGGTTAGCTGAGGAAAATTATTCGGAATGCAAACGAGAATTCTGAGAAATTCGGTCCAAGTAGATACCAAGCATGCCCAAAGACAAAACCCGGGCTTGCGGAATGCCAACTTGTGATGGCCAGATCCCTTTATGTAAAGCCTGACGTCGTAAACTTGGGTGTTGCAAAGGGCAAAGATGAGAAGAGTTCTGCTTGTCCTTCCATCTCCTTGACCGGGTCTTGCGGCAAGTGCGGCAATTATGGATGTAGCGGCCCACACCAATAATGGGACTCGAGAGGACCATGTCAATCCAAGCCGCTGGAATCGGACGGTTCACACTATCGCAAGGGTCATAGTTACTGGAAAATGACATTGTCTACGTTTGTAGTACGGCCTCAAAACAGATGAATTATCTATCTTGTGGTCGAAAGCAAGCACACGAATAAGGCGCCTTTGCTAAGTGTGCAGTCTGAAATCTGTTCCCGTATGGAGGGAGTCTTGGGAATCGCCTACGGCAATTTATAGAACGGTTACCCAGCTTGTAAGTGAAGACTGACGTCTGGATGAAGGGGATAGAGTGTAGCTCGCACAATTATGTATGGTATTTCAACCATTGATTACGAAACGAAAGAGGCTCGCTTTGTGGCACCTGTAGTTTTATTACAAACAATATCTTTTTCTTTGCTTACCGCGAGCTGTGTCTGATTTATCTGAAATTTTATTGAAAGAAATAGAATCTTTTATATAATATTTTGTCATGGATAACCTGCGGAATTATGGCGGATTAGCGGCGGTCTACCTACGCATCCTCTGCGTAAGGGTCGTGAAATCAATGTCTTCTGGTTTCTTAGTACTTAACCACTAGGACCTTGCTAGACCTTCAAAATAGCAAGGATTAGTCTTGAAATCAACGGACTGCTACTATTCTATACCTAACTGACCTACTTTCCTCCTAACATTCCTATTGGAACTGTTATATACTGTTTTAAAAAAAGTATAGCAGATATTTAACTGCTGCTTGCTGGTTATAATCATATTATTATTCTCAATTGGATTATATTTTATTATATTAAACTGCTGGCTAGTATTATTATTCTAATATTTAACTATTCTTTTTTAAGATTATATTATTCTAGTCCAGAGCCAAGTTGGACCTAAAGCGGGAAGGGAAGATCGCTGGATCTCCGCAGCAATCCAGTTTATTAGTAGTCTACAGCTGCAATAAGAGGCACAAGTGCAGTGTGGTATGTAGGAAAGATGTATTAAATTGCTCGTCATTCATGTATTCGTATCATTATGTATCATATACTTGGGTGTCTCCAAACTCAGTCCCCGGAAATTACGTTTCCTTGGGAGAGCTGTAGGGTTCTCCAACTGTGTCCTGGCTATCCATCAAGAATACCGGCAGTGGAATACTTTCCATCACGCTTGAGGTGAGTAGGTCACTTCTCTTGATCACGCCGCGAGGACCTGAGTCATCTGGGTTCTGGGAACGATTACGATGCCTGTCTGCTGGCTGTGACGACTCGACCTGCACTATATCCCGCGAAGCGAGACGGTGGGCGGGCGTCCGGAAAGTGGTGCTTCCGCTATCCTGTCGTACAATTGGGGAAGATTCCGGAACAAGTTCAGTCAATGTCTGATCTGAGTCTAGACGCGTCTCAGAATCAAATGATTGAGTCTCAGATGCAACAGTCATGCGTTTGGGAGTTTTAGAAGATGACTCTGTAAATGACATGGTAGCGATGCTTTCATCGTTGCATTCATCCGGGAAAAGCTCGGCCAGTCTCTGGGTGTTCAGATTTGGCACTGGTCCAAGGGGGAACTGAGTGGCTGGCTGAATTCTGTGATAGTAGATCGATGATGCATCTGAAGTGGGATTATCATCTAGATGCAGCTGTTCCGACTCTTCTTCCATCTCCGGAGGAGCCATTGAAGGAAGAGCCTGTGAGCTCTCTTCTGTGGCACCTTCATGCTCGAGATTGGCTGCACCGGGATCGTAATGCGGTACCTTCCTTCGTCGAGGTGATTCGATGGGATTAGGCAAATCATCTTCTAGGTCACCGTAATCTGATTCTGCGTCTGTCTCATATACCACGGTTCTCTGAGTATTAGGGACATGTTCACTGATTCTATGATGCTTAACGGATTCCTCTGACTTCACTTGCTCAGATAATAGAGCGATGCTTCCTTGGTCACTGGCGGAATTGCGCGGTGATGGCGAGTCTGGAACCAAAGCCGCAGGTTGGGATTCATTAGATTCTGGAATTTCACTGGGTGGGCTATGAGACGCTTCTTTGATGCGTTGCAAAAGTGGCGATTCTTGCTTTATACACTGGCCTGCAGTGTCGGCAGCCTCGCGCTTATACGGCGAATGAGTCGCGGTACGGAACTGCGAGGAAGTGATGAATGCGATACCCGAGCTTTCAGGCGACTGAGACGACGGTATCTCACGCTCCCGCTTCGCCCGAGGGGTCACGGAGCCAGGGTCTGGAGGGTAATTTTCCTTCTCATTTTCCAATTTGACCTTCGTATCAGCAGCGATGCTCAATTTTCGTTTCTTGCCTCCGCTTGAGGCCTCTTGGTCGGAGAAATGATCCGACTGCGGGGCCAGATTACCAGCAGCGTGCCGATTTGCTTGCTTCCTGTCGTTCTTCTTTGGCGTGGTATAAGTATATTCCAGCTTTACCTCATCGTCCGGTTCTATCTTCAGATAGCGCCGCACATAGTCCATCTGTGTCAGAGTTTTGTTGCCCTTCTTTGCGTCCTTGTCTAATTTGTTGCCCTTGACGCCCCCGCCACTCTTCCTGCGCTTCGACTTCGAGTCTATTTCGCGCGGCCGGGTGGAGTTCGAGTGTCCGGTCGATGTACTGCTCGGCCCTTGTTCGAACCTGACCCCGCGGGCTCGGCGAGGCTGGCGACTAGGCCGATACTCGACATCGTTATCGGAATCGTCATCGAGATCGATCACTTCATGGTGGGCTTGCCGGCCCCGCTGCGGTTGCTTCTCATTGAGGTAGTGGAGGCTTTCATCTGAGCGGGCTGGCGGGGGTGTGGGCGTCACAAAGTCGATCTGCGTGAGGGTGGTTTGATCTAACGTGCTAGGGACATGATTTCCTTTGGACGACCTTGCGGAGAACGAAGAAGACGCCGGCGGGTCGCAGCAGGACTGGCCCTTGGCTGCATTCGCTATACTGATCGAACAGCGTGCGCCCGAAGAAGGCCTGTCCGGCGTTTGGAAGGATGGGCTGTGACTCGTCTGGGCGGTGGAAACAGTATTCTCCCCTTGGTTCATCGCAGATTGAAACGGTAGGATCGAGTTGAATAGTCACAGTGAGCCATAGGAAAAGGTTATAGCAGTCTTGATTCTGTGGACTGGGCGCTTGATGCTGGTCAAATGACTCTGACCGGGCCCGGGCTGCTGAATTGATTTCCCCGTTGAGGCAAATCGCGTCGCGCGTCGTACCCGTTCTTTGAACGTGGTCCGTGCACCCGCAGGCATTGAGGGCACTCATCCTTCGTCATCGCTTCTGCTGTATCCCATCTTCTACTCATCCAATGTACTGGTAGGCTGTGTTCAATCTGGAAGAGGCTCAAGTCTTCAAATATGAGTCGCGGTTCAAGAGAAGCTAAGATCCGGCTGTCAGAAGCGATATACCCTCTGTTCCTAAAGTTTTGAATGTATGTAAACGACCCCGGTAAAGTGTAAAAACCCGCCCGCGGAACTCTTGCATACATCCAGTGGGTCAGAAGCCATTGGCTGCTTGGAACACATCTACATTTCTTTTCCTCAATAGGCTCGGCCACTGACAGAGTGCAAAGCTACAGTATCATCTGCAAGCTTTAATCATGTATTGCGTCACAGATACGTTCCTCCCGAGCATGATCGTCCACCGCAAACTACGAAGACCTTAAATGAAGGTGAACAACCACAAAAGTCAACAGACCCCAGCCATACGTTAAGCCCAGCATTGTGATTACCGGGTACCGACTGCTTTCGAGCGATCTAGAACCTCTTCTCTTTGAGCGACTATGCTGTCAAGATCCCTGAAATTCAAGGCGCCGCTTCCGTGGACGCGGCTATGCTACTCTGACCGTCGATGTATGGCACACGTCGCCGATATCGCTGAAATACCGACTGTGCGTAAGATAAAGAGTGGACGTCGTGTTCATAGAACACTCCTGACCATCGAATTCTTAAGTAGGACGATGACAAACCATTCAAGGTCCCGATCGCAGAAGAAAGCTACGAAACATACAATCTCGAGGCACCTCCATACACCCTGGAGACAACGAAACGACAACTCAAACAACTATACCATGACATGTTCATGATCAGGTCAGTTTGGCTCTTCGTATTGGGTCCCAAAAAATGACACCACCAACCTAGAGTACATACTAACAATTCCCCCGCAGGCGCATGGAGCTGGCAGCCGACAAATTATACAAGGAAGGGAAAGTCCGTGGGTTCTGTCATCTATCTATAGGCCAGGAAGCCGTGGCAGTGGGAGTTGAACATGGAATCTCCAGGGACGACAAGCTCATCACCGCCTACCGCTCCCACGGCACCACCTTGATGCGCGGCGCCACCGTCAAGTCTATTCTCGGGGAATTGCTTGGACGCCAAGATGGCATCTCCCACGGGAAAGGTGGCTCCATCCATATGTTCCGAGAGAATTTCTTCGGCGGGAATGGTATTGTGGGATCGCATGTTCCGGTTGGAGCGGGAATTGCATTTGCCCAGCAGTACAACAATCGAGATAGTGTAACCGTCAGCATCTTTGGCGACGGTGCGGCAAACCAGGGTCAAGTCCATGAGGCCTATAACCTGGCCAAGCTGTGGGAATTGCCTATTATCTTCTGCTGTGAGAGTAAGTTTCGCACTCTTCTTTGCATCCCTACCCCTTATGGCAAGATTTCAAGTTTCCATTGTCGACGTAAAGCTAAAAGCCAACCCCAGACAATAAATATGGAATGGGCACATCCGTGCAGCGATCATCGGCAATGACCGATTTTTACAAGCGCGGCCAGTATATTCCCGGCATGCGCATCAACGGGATGGATGTCCTCGCGGTTCTGGCTGCGATGCGTTACGGCAAGGCATTCGTCCAAGCGGGCAACGGACCGTTGCTGTACGAGTACCAGACCTACCGGTATGCCGGACATTCTGTGTCTGACCCAGGCACGACATATCGGTCCCGAGATGAGATACAGGCTGAGCGGCATAATGATCCCATCTCCGTACTCAAGGATCAATTGACGAAATGGGGGGTAATCTCAGAGGAGGACGCAAAGGCGACGGAGAAGGAGGTTCGCAGCAAGGTCGACCGCGAGGCGGAAGAGGCAGATCATATGCCTGCCCCAGAGCCAAGGTTGGACGTGCTGTTCCAAGATATCTATGTCCCTGGTAGCGAGCCCCTGCAAAGGCGGGGTAGAACCGTCGACGAGACGTACTACTAAGACGAACAGGCCATGCCACTGAAGGGTGTCTCCTCATATTGAATTCATAGCATGTGATCCCCAGTCAACCCATGTAGGATATATCAGAGCGCAAGAGACCCTTTCCCCCCACACTCGTAGGAGACTCATCATAACCTCGACCCTCCTAGCTTCTAAGCAAGAAACAAGTCAGCTAGTACGAACCAAACAACCGACCCAAGTCAAAATGGTTTTCCAGACCCCGCCCATGACCACCCCGGAGTACTGCACCGCAGACTTCTCGCTTATCCCCGTACGTACTACTTCTACCAACACCTAAGACCCCCCTCAACTCTCTCCTTCGAAACCCATGAATCATCCATCAAAGCAGAATCCTCACCCCGAACGACCGAATAGATCGGCTCCAAAGACGTCTCCTTCTCCAAGCAAGTTGCCGAGATCCAGCGTCTGATCCAGAACACCGGCCTCAAGTCCCAGATGCATGCCACCGGCACTACCGTGGGTGAGTCCAGCCTCCCTCTCGATAAAACCTCTTGTTAAGAAGCGAAGAATTTCCTGACGATGAATTCCTTCTATAGAGGGAACATGGGACCAGGTGTCGCAGACCATCGGATGCGCTCACACCATGATCCATAACGAGGGGGTGGGCAGGATCCAGACGGATATCCGCATCGCAACACGGTACGTCAGATACGCTTTTATTTTTTTTCTGACATAGGGAAGGGGGAATGTTATGCTGACGCGTTGATGTTCCTGTTGACAGGACTGATAAGATACAGCCGATGGAGGAGAGTATCTCCTCCGTGCAGCGGGTGTTGTCTACTTGATTGTGATGCGAGTTTGTGTTCGGGGATACGAAAAGTGATGATTGGAGCTTTGTTTTGGTTGGTGGAGTGCGGATTGTTGTACTGGGATGGATGATGGACTAGTCTAGGTTTAGTAATGAAATCGTCCCTTTTTGTCTTCTTCGAAATGTAGCAGACCAAAGATTGTGACTGTAGGTTGTGGTGCTATGGTGATAGAAGCATTGGGGAAGTATCTGCTATGGAGCTGGAGTACCCAGGTAATTCGTGCCTAGTGTGTATTATAAAGACGATGTCTCTCTGAGAGTGTCGGAGTAGGCTCAGCAGAAGAGTTTTCCTCAAGCACCAACTACCCCTGAATAACTACTTACTGGCCGCCGGACAATCCAAAACCCCTTAAATAACCAGGCTAAGAGATATATCACGGTATGATATGATTATAAGACCACTAAAATCTTGGCACAAATGATGAAAGTAAGACAAGGACATGAAGAGCTCCTGTCCCAAGGAGGGACAGACATACAAGCTCTGTACAGGACATTGAATAAGTAACATTCTTAACAAATTACATTGTCCACTTTCCCAGAGTGGAATACTAAATGTATCTCATGGCTGCAAAATCAGCAGCGCAACCAGGACCGATCGCATTATAACCGAGCAGACTACTGAGCACATGGGCAATTGATAGATTGAAATCAATTCGACATCAAACAACGGGGTGATTCCTTCATTGAAGAGTGAGTCCAAGTGGCATGGAGAGCGCTTTCAATAGCTGCAGCTACTATGTATCGAACCACAACACCCAGTCACCCCCCTGTGGGCGGGACGTGGAGGGGTGGCGATGGTATGAAGAACAGCGATGTAATCGATTGCCACTTTGAGACACATACATGAAGAACTACCAGACGAAAAGCTCGGTTGCAGCTCCGATCAGCAACTTGACAAGGCAGTAGGCCTGGTGAAAAGCAGTGGGTGGTTTTTCTTGTCGCTTTCCTACTCGGATGGAGATTCGAAGCCTCTAGGAGTATTTCCCATGTGTTTTGCGGAGGGTCATTGTTGGTTCTGAATCTCTGCTGACATCGAGGATAGATCTATTGTACTGTACCTAGAAAGAGCTCAAGATAGTGTACGGTTGGTTGAATAGGGTCATGCACTCAGTGATGGTTGGGATCGGGGACACTCTGGCCCGTTGGTTGTCGAGGGAGTAGGAAAGCATTGACCATCTTTCATGTTTCAAGTAAAGCAGGCGTCGCATGTGCAACAGAGACTTGCCTGTCGACTTGCTAATACCAGCTCTGTAGGCGAGCGAAGAAGTCCATTAACGTGGTCGATTATCATAGGGTCTCCTTTCGGTGATAGTCATTGTAGGTTAAATTCCATACAACGGTGGATTCTTCCAGTATCGAGATAATTGCAGATATCCAGATGCAAGGCAAGTCTTCGGAACAATTGATAGAAGGTGTGTAGCGGGGAGGAGGGGGGTTGTTGTTGATTCATACGTAGTATGGTTTCAGTGACATACAAACTGTAACGTTATTGCATACAGTACGTCACACATACATGGTATATTCAACGTGTCTCACCGGAAGATAAGCAAAAGGACTGCTCAAGTCTTGAGAATCCTGGAATCTCTGGGGATCCGGCAGGCTGGGATAGCTCATGCTAACGGATAGGGTGATATTGGTGGTAGAAACCGACCACCTGGCAGGCGATGGCAGGCATCTTTTCCCGGGAAGTTTAGGCAACCCTGCTCTCGGTAGAAGCCTAGAAGCCTAGATGCCTAGATGCCCTGTCTTTGCTACACTGCCTCCCTCGAAGGACAACCTCTGCAAACACACACACATACACATATGATAGCCCTTTCATGCGGAGGAGGAAGTAAATTAGGTGGTACAAAGAGCATGGTGGAGGCCCACCTGATTCGTGCGAAGCCTCCTTTGTGCATCACGGTGGTGAAGAGAACAAACTCTTGGCATAATGCCCTTGCTCTTCCATTGTTCTCATGGGGCTCGACAATCTTCCCCGATCAGGACGGATGTGCGTAAACCTGGCCAGCGACAGTCACTAGTCTAGGATTTGTCAAGTCTAGGGCGGGACTTCCATGCTGAGCTGCTTCTGGTACAGTCAATCC